GGTAAAGAAAGGCAACCATGTGTACTGCAGGGTTCCCAGAAACTCCCTCCTGACCATCCCTCTGACACAGCCCTCTCCTCTGAACACCCTCCTTCACTTGTGGAGAGGGATAGTAGAGGCCATTTCTCCACCCTGTCCCAAAAGAGAGAAAAGCATCCCCAGGCCCTGGCACATGGGTGAAGGCAGGAGGAGAGGCTGTGGGTGGAGGGTCACTGAGGGGCAAGGGATGACCATGGGAATCCCAGACCTGGACTCCAGGCCCCACCTGTCTTAGTCTCCTGAAAGAAACCAAGGTCCTGGCGCAGCAGGGAGGAGAAAAGCTGCTCCCGGATCCGCAAGTTGATTCTAGACATGGTGTACGTGAAGCAGCCTCCTCTGCAGCCTGCAGACAGTGAGCTGCCGGGTAGGAGAATGAGGGGAGAAGGAGGTGCAGAGAAGGAGCAAGCCAGCGGGTGAAACAGACAGAGGAGCAAGCCAGGAGTGCAGAGAGGCACAAAGTCGGGGGAAAGTTTGCCAGGAGAGGCAAAAGGGAAAGAAATGAAAGACAGACACAGAGAGAGAGAAGAGGTAAAGAATGCACAGAGGAAGAAGAAAGGGAAGACATGGTGAGCTAGATGTGGGAACAAAATCATAACACGTACAAATTCACAAGTATTTATGGAGTGCACTCTGTACTAGACACAGTAGAAGACTCCAATCAGGGTGAAAAGATATTGTGAAAACAAATATCCCAGTGCTTGCTTCTGTCCTGGCCTCCCTCGGGCTTATCCCTCTGTGTGTCTCCTCTGCACTGGTCTCCTTCCTGCCCCATACCCAAAGCCCTTCTCTGTCATCAGATACTTCGTCATTGGAACTGCAGTAATAAACTCCATCCCCACCATTCTCTGGAGCCTCAGAGTCATGTGGTTCCCATCTTTCATCCTTCAAGATGGAGAATTCCTCTTAGACCAACTACATGTCTACAATAAAATGTAGAGGAAAAAATATACAAGCGGGCATTTTAAAAAGTATAGGTGTCTAATACAAATTTAGTTACCATATTGAAGAGTCGCTTGGAATAGTCAGACATGATATAATGAGGGTTTGGCCTTTGATGTGGGATGTGTTCTGAGAAATGTGTCATCGGATGGCTTCACCGTTGTGCGAACATCATAGAACGTACTTACACAAACCTTGATGTCAGAGCCTACAGCACACCTAGGCCATGCAGTTAAGCCTCTTGCTCCTAGGCTACAAATCTGTACAACATATGACTGCACCTAACACTGTAGGCGACTGTAACACAGAGGTAGATATTTGTGATTTGGAAACATAGAAAAGGTACAGTAAAAATATGGTGTTATAATCTTGTGGGTCCACCATCTTATATGTGGCCCCTCATTGACCTAAACATCACCATGCAGTGATTACTGTAGTTTCAGCAGAAAGCAGCCAGGATGGAATGAAGGCACAATGGAGAAGTGGTTTTGAAGGTATTCTAAATTAAGTATGACCATAGAAATAGAGACATTCAGGCAGGCGGGGATTGGGGTAAGGCGAGGGCCCATCTGCTGAAACTTTGCACCCCAGGTGCCTCACTCACCTCATCCCAGTCCCAGACCTATCAAACAGTTTGTTTGTTTGAGTATGTCTAGAAAGAGAAGGGAAAGTAAGCGAAGGGAAAAGAGTAGTGATTCTGGAAAGAAAGGTGATGAGCCTCAGAGAAGGATCTTCAGGGATTGGCAAGATGAATCTGGAAAGAAGAGTGGCGGGAGAAGCATGCCCATCCCGAGGAGAGAGTGAGCCTGGAGAGATACTCTACAGACAGACTCAGGGATAGGAGGTAGGAGACAGAAAGAACGGGAATCTCATGGGCCTGGGAATGGTGAGAAACAGCTGAGAGACATTCCATCTGACACTTAAATGCCTTTTGTACTACTTCACTCAACTTGTACCTATAATAAGATCAGATCGACTTGGAAGATACTGGATGCACAGGAATGAAGAAATGAATGAATAGATGAAAGAGAATAGTGACTACATTCGCCATATTTTAGTTTAAGTATTTTTGTGCTTTGTGCCTGAAAGGGCCTGGAAATGGAGTTAGGGAAGTGAAGACCCATGCCATTTTTTGGAGCTAGCAAGTGGAACCGGCTGCCCATCACCTACCTGACAAAGGAGAAGAGGCACATGAAGAAGATGGCACTGGCAAAGGCATGGGGGTCAAAATCGCCTCCAAGGATGTCAATCACACGACCAGTATAGTGAGGGATTAATGTCTCACCTGAAAGAGGCATGAAAAATAGTACATGAATGTACTGGTACCCAGGCCCATCTCCCGCCTCCAACTCCCAACGTCCTCTCCTGACTCACCCAAGACAGCAAGGGCAAGGAAGAAGATAGCGGCAATGACGAAAGGCAGGTCCGGCCTGGAGAGCTTCAGCAGCCTCCACATCAAGACTTTGTTCTTGTCCTGGGCCTCCGTCTCCTGGGCTCCAGGAGGGCTCAGCACAGCCCACAGTGACCAGCTGAGCCCCGCGGCCCCATACCCCACCAGCAGCCAGCTCCAAGCGGCTGAAGCGACTCTCGCTGGGGGAACACTTGAGGCCCCCGCGACCAGGGCTCTCAGGGAGACAGTCAGGGGAGTGGCCAGGCAGAGTGGGGGCAGCAGGGTCCCCACAAATCCCAGTAGCCCTGTTAGCTTTAGCAGCCCCCACAGCCCTCCCAGCCTCACGGTCCCCTCCAGCCATAGTCCTGGCAGCCCTTGAGGAAGCAAAGTCCCCAGAGGGCCCTGCAACAGCCACAGTAAAGCCGCGTCCACCAGCAGCAGAGAGGTCCAGGGTCTCAGGTCAGGGAGCGGCATGACCCTGTCAAAGGGGAAGAGATGAGAAATTACGGTAGTTGAATCCCAGTCCTTGTCCCCGCCCTCCTACCCGCCCGCCTTCCCGCCCGCCTCCGCCCAACCCGTCCATCGGTTTCTCATTTTATCCTATTCGACCCTGAGAGCTCCCCTGGGCAACCGGTTCTCATCCGTACACCCCGCCTACGACAGACAGCTTTCGGCCTGTCTAGGGAGCTGGAAGCATGACCATCAGGAGTCTCGTGCTTTAAAAAAAAAAAAAAAAATCCCCGGGTCCCCACCCCCACCCCCGCCTGCCGCGGTGAGCTAAGCGGTCCGGGCTCTGCTCCCTCCTACCGCCCCGTGCAGAGGGACGGGGAAGCTGGGTGACCAAGTGGCAAGTGGCTTGGGCTGCGTCCATCTTGGTGCTCCAGGTTCCCCTCTGCACCAACTCACCAGCCGCGGCGGGGAGACTGCAGCTCCGGGGCTTCTGCTTTAGCGCGGAGGTCCTCTCCGTCTCTCCCAACTTCGCTAACTGCTCTGGTCCAGCAGCCGCGCTCAGCCTGGGCGGGCGTCTGGGCTCGGGCAGCTTTCGCTTTCGCTTCCCCAGCGGAGGCTTTCATTGTGGGCGGGGCCGCCGGGAGGGGGCGCGAGAGACCCGCAGACAGTCAACAGGAGCCCGAAATCCGGTTCGCACGGCCCAGGCCTGCGGTGAGTCGCACTCACCCTTAGCGGCGGTTACTCTGGGATATAAAACTGCAAAAAATGTTTCTTTGTCATTAAGTAAAATACAGTTGTTTCAGGACAACTTTATCTGTTGTCTTTACTTTGTAACTGGAGAATCAGTAGATTTTCTCAAAGTTACTACTTCAACCTCTGAGCCTACTATGAAGAAGGGCTGCTCTCTTCTCCCAAGCAATCTCCAGTTTGAGGCTAGCGAAAAATAAGCCCGGCTCTCCTAAATAGAAGGTTCCAACCACACTCACCAGGCCAAAGGGGAATTCCACGTACACATTTGGAATTTAGGAGGCCCTGATCTTTTATCTTCATCCATCCTTCTCAGCGGAGCACCTTGAGCTAGCGCAGGTTCAGATGCCTCTAAGCCTGTACTCCAGATTCTGCTGGGAGCACCTTCGGCCTGTGAGGGAAATGCACGGTACTGGGCTTTGGTTCTTGTTCTATTTTAACACTGTTTAGAACAGTAATCGGGTTTCTACATGTCCTTCCTGACCCAGAGCCTACCTATGCAACAGAAAAATATGTTTATTCCAGAAAGGACTCCTGATTGAAACCACCTCGCAAACTGAAAACAAAACAAAACAAAATCCCCAAAGGAAGGGTCACTTGGATTCCAAATCACCGTTTTGAAATGTTATTTGTGTGTCTACCAGTGAGGCAAAGTGTAAAATAGTGGTGGGGGAGAGGGGGTTATTTTAAGTAGGGGCTCGCTAAAGTTTTACAACTCTATTCATTCTGGCATTTTAAGAATCTCTCCCTAGTGAAAAAAAGCTCCGTGCTCAGCTGCTTCCTACTTTGAAGCATTTGTTTCCTTTAGTCTTTGGAAAGTGACGTGGCCCATAGTTCCAGCGTGATTTCAAAAATCTCATGATGTGTGTCTCTTTCTTTTAACCTGGGTTTTTACATTTTCCCCACACTCCCCACTTAAGGGAGCCCTCCTGATCTCTTCTTCCTCTCAAATTATAGTCCCGTCATCTTGCAAATCAGCATGACACATCATGAAATGGGAACCCTAATGTCTGTCTATATTCAATATCTCCCAAGTGTTATTTGGGGTAAATGGTATGGTGTTTAGGATTGCCATATTAAGGTGAAGTGGAAGCTTTTTCATCCCACTCTATAAAGTCAAAAACAGCTATACTAGGTGCCCTATTCCCTGTTCCCCAAACCATTAACAGTGGACCACACAGGAGTCTCCAGGTATCTCTCTATGGAAAGGACCCTAACCTACATGAAATTGCAAACAAGTGTCCATGGACAAAAATGAACAACATTCCTGCAGTCTTGGAGAGATGAGTGTGGAAGGAAACTCCAGAAAGAAATACGTGGTGAAGCCACATTTCTGAGACAGGGGTTGAGTCCCTTCCCCAGAAAAAGCATCTCTTTATTTCCTGTCCCACCCAGCAACCACAGGCCCAACCCCACTAAGCCACAAGACAAAGGCATTTATAACCGTTTCTCTTTATTCTACTTAGTTGGGCACCAAGAAATTTCCCCTGGGGAAACGCTCGTTCAAATAGAGAACACACCGAAGATGCACTACACCAGCCTCCTCCGGCTGCTGAGCAGGTACTTTCTCTTTGGCTCAAGCTGGGCCTCATCTTCTCCAGGGGCTTAACATGGCTCAGGTCTCTGATCGGCCAAGCCCTCCCGGAGGAGGCCTGCCCAGATGCCACCACCACTATTACTGATTGGCTTCCCGGTACCGGTGCAGCAGGTCACTGACGTCTGTACTTTCTACTTTCACCCAACCATCTTCCTTCATGTGGTACACTGGGCAAATGAGAAAAGAGCACGGAGTCACCTTTCACCTCAATTCCTGTCAATGGTGTTATGCTAAAGGCAGCAACAAGATGCATGTGCAGGCTTAAACCCATATGATTGGGCCTTCAATGCCCTTCTTCTGATTCTGAAAATTTCCTCCCTACCATTCTGCCTCCTTTGAGTCTCTCAATCTTTTTTTTAATTAATTTATTTTTTCTGAGACAGAGTCCTGCTCTGTGGCCCCAGACTACAGTGCAACAGCACAATCTCGGCTCCCTGCAACCTCCACCTCCCCAGTTCAAACAATTCTCCTGCCTCAGCCTCCCAAGTAGCTGGAATGACTGGTGCCCATCACCACGCCAGGCTAGTTTTTGTATTTTTAGTAGAGATGGGGTTTCACCATGTTGGCCAGGCTGGCTCTCAATCTTAAATCACCCTCCCGACCCCTCCCAGGCATGGCGATGGGAACATTGGTCTCTTACTATTAACAACGCCTCCCGAATAGCTGTCTCTGTGAGTGGCATGAGCAATAGCCCTGCGGGCAAGGTCATAGGCCTCTTCAGGGCTAAGATTAGGCCGATAGCCACTGTCCATGACCCCGTAGGCATAAGTGTTCCCACTACCAGTGGAGAACATATTTCCTGAGAGCCGAGTCCCATTTTCATCCACATAGTAGAGTCCAGGACCCTATAAGATGAAAAATTTCAGGCTGAAATTGGAGAGGGAAATGTTGGCAACATAAAGGTTCAAATGTGAGTCATAAAAAGTGGACAAAAGAATGAATATTACCGCAAGAACATTGGAAATAAGAGAGCACTTTGGTAAAGTCATAGAACTTTAGAAATAAAAAAGGAAAAACAAACTTGAAATTAACTATTTGACAAAAGAGACAAGCTTACAAAACACATACAATGATCCATATCTGGACCAATAAATAGTCCACAGATATACGGGAACAGTTCTATACCGGAGCATTCTATATGCCATGCATCTTGTCAGGGAGGGAGTAGGAGTATATGATGGGAAGCAGATCTGTCATCCATGGGAAACATGGTGGGGGAACATGGAGAAGGAAGAGCACCCACCTTCTTATCCCAGCCACAGATCATACTGCCCATAGAGAGGCCCATGCCCCGGTACTGGCACATCATGTTGGACAGCAGCTTGGAGGCTGCGGACACTGAAATGCGTTCTCCATTCCGCAGATAGTACAGCCTGGGTGAGGACAGGGTGGAGGGGAAGGAAGGTTAGCTTTTTCCAACTCGATAGGGCAGGAAATTATTGAAGAGATAAGCATTGGAAAGGAATTATTTTGCAGAATCTAAAGATCAGAAACAATTTTGGAATTTGAAGTATCTGAAACGTACTAAGGCAGCCTAGTAAATGATACTATCCCACCAGGGTAGATGTGTCCGTGCTAAATAACTGACATATCTGGTTTATGAGTGGGGCACAGGATGAGATTTGGGAGAAGGTTCTTATCATCAAAAGGCTGTTTTGTGAAATATACTATAAGCACTAAGAGGGACCACATGGGACAAGAGTGCGGAGCAATGATCTGAGAGATCCAGGGATTAACCACTAGACTAAGAAAGGAAAATGAGAGGCCTCACTTACCTGCATTCCTTGGCCAGCAGGCGCTCCCAGTACTGACAGTCTGCTGCACAACCAGACATGGTGCCAAGCAGGTAAGGGTTAATCTCAATCACCTTGTTCACCCGTAAGGTAGCTGGAAGAAGATGGAGTTTGGGGAGAGAAAAGATGACCTCACAAATCCCCCAGTGTGTCCTAAATCAATATCCACTTCCACTTTGCTGCAGAGTTGAGCTCCTGCAGAAAGGAAAGCCCAGATCCCCAGATTCTGCCTGCTGGAGCATATACACTCACCAATGTAGGACCCAGCTGAGGCCCGAGAATCCACTGCTGCAATCACTCCATGCTGGAACTTGAAGGCGAGCGTGGTGGTGCCATGGGCCATCTCAATCTGAACTTTCCTTTCTTCGTCCCCACATAGGGACTGGAAGAATTCTGTGGGCTGATAAGAGAAAAGAGGTAGAGAAAGGCGATGAAAAATTCTGTAGTAAGAGGCTCCAGGAAATGGTTTCAGAGAGTATGAGGGTGAGGAGATATGCAGAAATTGTCTAACCATCAATAAATGAAACAACAAATTAGAAGAAATGGCTTGGAGAAGGAAAAGAAGAGGCATAATAGAAATAAAGGCAAGCACATGTTACCATTACTAAAAAATTTTGAGAGTGACTTTAAGGGTTTCTTCCATGCATAACTCATTTGACTCTCACAAAACACATTTAGTAACAGTATCCTCATTTTACAGAAGAGGGACTTGGGACCTATACTAAGTTACTTGTTCTAAGTCACTCAACAGAGAGTTGCTGAGAGGAAGCTAGCAGGCAAAGTTCATAGGTTTTCCAAGACACTACACAGCTCCTATATCATGTGATAACCCATGAAAAAGGCTCCACGATTTGTCTGTGGACAAGGGCAGGAAAGCTCTCTTTTCTTCCCTTGGGAGCCCCCACTTCACCTGTAACTCTTTGTCCTAACCTGCATTTCCTCCTCTCAGGCGCCATCCCCACATGGCCTCTTCCTTCGGTCTGGCGCTCTCCAGGACTGAAGGCTGCCCCCAAACCGGTCCCCTATGCTCCCGCGCTCCCGCTGTCTTCTCCTCTCAGGCGACCATCTACTTCTCAGCGCCCGCCTCCCGGCATCCCCGGGGATCCCTTACAGCCCCGACCTGCATTCCTCGGGGTAAGGCGAGCTCTGGAGATCGCAGGGAGAAACTGTACTGTCCCGGGTCCGAGCGACTCCGGCTTCCAGCAACCGGGAGAGCCCATTCCGGCCTCTGCCCTCTGGGGGCTCCGCATACATCCAGTAGCGCCATGACTACACTGCACCCGGAGGTCTGTCGGCTCTCGGAGAAGGAAGTGAAAGCGAAAGCCACAGATCTAAGGGGAGGGAACCAGAATCTTTTCCACATCCCCCTGCCTTTTCCGAGAAAAGGACAATTAGTGCCTGGACCAGGACTATCACACTGGGGGATTGGATTCTGTGCTCTGCCTTAATGGGGGTCGGGGGAAATGATGGGTCAAGGACTGTAGGAAGAAAGCAAGAAAGCGACGGGCACCTGCAGAAGCCCCCTTGGTGATGGGTTACAGTGAGAGGCACCTGCAGGGCCGAGCAACCGCTGGAAACAAGGGTGAGTAGGGTCGTGTCATCTAAAGGCGCAGCCTCAACCGGAAAGCTGGAAGTCAACAGGAGCTGGGAGCAGTTTCAAGTGGGGTGAGGGTTCCCATGACCATCACGCTACAACACCGGGAGGGACAGGAGGGACGGGCAGAGTCTTGGGAACAGGTCCTGGGGCAACTGCAGCAAAATATACCCGCCGCGTGTGGGGGAAGAGGGCTCCAGGGAGAGGACGCAGTCTCTGAATCTTTCCACGAGGTCCCTCCTAGGGTCCCTCCCGGTTCAACGCTCTCCTAACCCGTAGTCAACCACAAGAGCCCTTTCTGCCCGCCCTTCCTCGCACTGCTCTCTGCTTAGCTCAGCACTGCGGAGTTTAAGGCATCTGAACCCCGCCTCTCTTTGCAACCTGTGTTGGCCTCATCTGCCCAGCAACTGTTGACGTCACACGACCCGGGCCTCCCTGAATAGGAGAGATTTACTAGACAACCCCGCCCACTGTTGGGAGGTTTCTCCAACATGCTCCGCTTCCGAGCCTGGTGAGCCAGGACCCGAGCCGGCTAGGTGGTGAGTTGTGAGGTGCACCCAGTCCCTCCGTTCATGCCTGGCACTTGCCCTGGCCGCGCCCGCCCTATCTTCCACCTCGGGGAGGCCACGGCTCTGAGCTGCGTCCGCTGGTGCCCTGGTGGGCCATGTCGCTGGGGTCTTGCTATTTCTTGGGAGCGGCCCTAAAGGGATGGGGAAGTGGAAGGGGCTTCAAAGGAATGAGAAAGTTTAAGAGGGAAGATGATGCACGTAGGGCGTAAGACATTGAGGATGATGAAAGAGGAAACACCCCGCTGCTGAAAAGTGCGCTGCAAAAGGCAGTGAGCCGTTTGGTGTGTCGGAAACATAAGAAACCACAGTACAAAACACCAATTTTATTATAAATATCAAGAATCTACAGGGTGTTTATTGGCCAGCATATGCCTTCAGTCATATTGAAAATAGCTGACTTCTTTCTGTACATTCTGAACATTTCTCGATTTTCAGTGTGCTGGCCACACCAAAGCACCAACCCTGGCTCTAAACCCCTTTACGCTAAGGAATTACAAATCCTGTGTTTGCCTTGTAGGAAGTCTGCATCATCAAGAGGAGCTTGGAAAGGAGGTAAACACTCTGGAAATTTCAGGTAACTCCTCCTAGAAGCAGCTGCCTACTCTGCAGCTGTGGTTCTTCACAGCGAGGAGAAGAAAAGGGAGGGAGACGGAGTGCGCAGGTCTGAGAAGGCTTTCATTCAGGAGCATCTGCAGGAGCCTGCACCATGGCCCAATAGCACCCCTTTTTTTCTATGAGCTGCTGGTGGGTTCCCCTCTCCCGGATAGCGCCTCCTTCTAGAAAGAGGATGTGGTCAGCCTGCTCCACCAGGCTGAGGCGCTGGGTGATGAGTAGCACTGAGCGAGAGCACCTCTCAGGGCTTTCGTACAGGAGCTGCTCCACCTGAGGAAAGACATCGGACTGTCAGAGCAGGGGACCCTCAGCCCAGGGAGACACCTGTGTTTCCAGGGCTGGCACTGACTTCACAGCATCACTGCTGGCTCTGCCAACAACCCCCAAAAGGTTTCCCATTTTGAGTGCTTTGCCGCAAACCCCTTTTTTTTGTTAAGGACTGTTTTACATGGAGGGGGCAAAAGTGGGATAAACGTAAGATCCTAGGGTGAAACGCGACAGGAGAATAAAGACTATTGAATAGTCCTCTTCTTTACCCATGGACTTGAAATTTTTATATTAGATTTTAAGAAAATATAATTTAGTAGTAAAGAGATGAGCATTCAAGTCAGGCAGACCTGAATTTGGGTCAAGGCTGGACCACTCAAAAGCTATATGACCTCTTTTAGCCTCCGCTTTGTCATCTGTAGAATGATGATAACAATGCCTGGCTCAGGATTCCTAATGAATAAATGAGTGAGAGTGCATGTAAACAGCCCAGCTTAATTAATATTAATATGATTAGGATGGGATGGGCCTGGTGGCTCATGCATATAATCCTAGCACTTTGGGAGGTCAAGGCGGGAGGATTGCTTGAGCCCAGGAGTTCAGGTCAGCCTAGGCAACATAGTGAGACCCTGTCTGTACTAAAAAGAAAATTTTAATAAACAATATTATGAGGATGATCTTTTCCTTATGTTTCACTTTAGAAATTCAGTCTATAGGGCTAGGCAAGGTGGCTCACACCTATAATCCTAGCACTTTGGGAGGCTGAGGTAGGCAGATTGCCTGAGCTCAGGAATTCAAGACCAGCCTGGGCAACATGGTGAAACACCATCTCTACTGAAAATACAAAAATCAACTAGGCGTAGTGGCATACACCTATAGTCCCAGCTATTTGGGAGGCTGAGGGGAGAATCGCTTGAGCCCAGGATGTTGAGGCTGCAATGAGCCAAGATCATGCCTCTGTGCTACAGCCTGGGCAATAGAGTGAGACACTGCCTTAGAAGAAAGAAACGAGGAAAGAAAGAAAGAGAGAAAGAGAGGGGAAGAAAGAAAGAAAGTAAGTTAGTTCAGTCTGTAGTGTAGATAGGCTCTTTTAACTGGTTCTAGGTGTCTCATCTTTGCCTCATCTTCTATCTCTACTCCTTGGGGAGGCATCCAGTGGAACTGGATTTGGGAACTGAGAATCACAAGGACTGATTTGTATAATTATGTTAGTAAAACCAACAGAAGATGTATGAGAGAAGCAAGACTGGTGGGATATAGGCATTAAGAAGATGACTGCCTCACCCGTAACTGGCTGTCTGCATCCAGGGCACTGGTGGCATCATCCAGGATGAGTACACATGGTTTCCGGATCAACGCTCGGGCCAGCGCCACTGCCTGTCGCTGACCCCCTGATAGCTGGCTCCCAGCCTCGCCTGCCTCTGCAGAGCAAAGGGCCAAGATGAGAACTGTATAGCCATATATGTGTGCGCACACTCACACACACACATGCATTCACACACTTACACACACCAAGGTCTGACAGTTGTAGCTGGACAGGGGAGATTCTGGGAAGATGAACAGAGTCCTGAGGATGTTAGGATGGAGAAGCCATGGAAGCAAGATCTGACAACTTCAAATTCATGTCCATGGAGCAGGAGGAACTGGGGGATAAAGGCAAGACTACTGGGGTTTCAGTAAAGGTAAAGATGGTTGGGCAATGAGATGAGCGGAGACAGTACCTGTGTCATAGCCCTGAGGAAATCCAGAGATGAAACTATGGGCCCCAGACTTGACTGCAGCAGCTGTGATTTCCTCCATAGTTGGCTTCTGGGTCAGGCCATAGGCAATATTTTCTTGAAGACTTCTTCCAAATATCTGTGGCTCTTGTCCCACTGCAGCCACCTGAGATGAAATATGATGAAGAGTCATAGAACAAGGCACACAGGAGCATGGTTATCTAGGGATCGAAGATTCAAAATCTTTATTGAGAACATCACAAAATCACAATGCCTCCCTCCTGACCACACCACCATCTCTACCCAGGGTCTCTTATCATTCCCTAAGCCCCTTTTCAGAGTGCTCAGTAAGAATACTCTTCTTATGTGATGCTCTCTGCCGTCCTTCATGCCACCTTCTTGCATACCTGCCTGTGCAGGTAGTGGTGCTCATATTGGGGAAGGGGCTTCCGATCCAACAGCAGCTGCCCCCCGGTGGGCTGGTACAGATTCTGCAGCAGGGCAGCCACTGTGCTCTTCCCAGAACCATTGGGCCCCACCAGCGCCGTCACCTCCCCAGGGCATAGGGTGAACGTCAGCCCCTAGAGGACAGAGAAGCACACAATAAGAGGCTATCAAGGCCTCTAACCTCGAGAGTGTTGTTGCCTTGTTACATAGCATGATGTCTTACCCCAGAAGAAAAACGGAAATATAGCAACTCCTACCCTCCCACATGCACAGATTTCTGGGTGATGCCTCCTCAAGGCATAGAGATAGAAGATGAGGCAAAGACAAGGGCAGAGACCTAGCACTACTACACCACACACTTGACAGCAGATCCCACCAGGAAATGGAAAAATCACAGTCCAAATCACAAAGGAAAAGGAAAGAGATAGACTGAAGACACAGATTTTGTTGCAGCAATTCCTTGGAATGTGAGAGCGCTCTCTTCAAAACCTCTTCTCCCATTCTCTTTGGAAGCCCAAACTGGGTTCTTGAGTTTGGGGAAGATTTATGGAACAGATGATGCTTACCATTGCCTTTAAAGGGTTAGGAAGCATATATGCTTGGTGGCAAGCAGGCTGAAGGCAGGAAGAAAAGTTAGGATGGCAGAATTGCAGGTGGTGCCAGTGGGATACAGGGATTGGTAGGCGGTACCTGTAGCACTAGGACATCTGGACGGTTTGGGTAGGCAAAGGAGACATCTTGGAACTGGACAAGGCCCTCCAAGTGTAAGGGAGTCAACAGACCACTGGGTGGGCAGCGAGGGGTGCGGTCCAGGTACTCAAATATTTTCTCGGAAGAGCCCACAGCCTTCTGTACACTGGGGTAGGTGGATAGCAGTTCCTAGAGGGAGGTAAGAATAGTGAAAGTGAGGTGGGAGACCTAGTCTGCTTGCCAGCATTATGTGAAGTGAGAAGGGTAAAGAATGGAAGGAAAGCACACAGATGGCGCTGGGCCAGAGGAAGGAATCACACTGGGAAGTGAAGGTGGAGGGACCTCACCTCCACAGCCTCAGTGAACTGCATCTGGTAGAAAACAAATGAGACAAGGTTCCCACTGCTTACAGCACCACTGGTCACCAGCTGCCCACCAATGTAGAGGATTCCCACCTTCAGCAGCATCCCTGAAATCTATAAAGAGACCACAGAAAAAAGGGACTAAAATAGAGAAATCTGGAGGGGACACAAAGAACCACAGTCATTAACATAAAGGAAATATCAAGTCCCTTTGTCCCAAGTGACATCAGCAGGCTCAATAGGTAGACAGGAGAATGAACCAGAGACCCCATGGAGTCTGGCTCAGATGCATGGACGTCATGGTTCTCTCCACCACCATCACTGCTATCACCTTGTCTGGGAAGCATTTTACTCTTCACAAAAGGCTTTCATTCATGTGATGTCAGCTAATATATCAGGAGCTCTATAAGGAAGGTTATATCACTCCATTGTTTAAAAATGAGGAAACAGCCTCAGAGAAGGCAAATTAGTTGCCATGATCACAAGGTAAGCAAATGGCATCAACAAGCCAGGACCTTCTGATCACTGGTGTAGCTCTCTTTCCAGTGCATCACAGATGTCCCTCATCCCTGGCTTCCCTATTCCCATCACTCTCACTAGCACGTCTACACAGTACCAGCATGCAGCAGGCCCAGGTGCAAGAATCTATGGCTCCCTGCACTTCCTCTGAGAGGCAAAGGAAGGCCCCAGGACTGGAAGAAATGCATCTCTCCAATCCACATGGTTGGGTGGATTTTATGTACCATACTGAAAGGAAGCCCCCTGGCATCTTTAAGGAGAGGGAGGGGGTTAGGGACACTAAGTAGAGTCATTGAGCCTCAGGTTGCTAGGATGAAAACACTGAACCAACCATTTCCCAGTAAAGGAGTAGTGGAAGCAGAGTCATAGGAATGGGAATGGAGTCACGGCATCTTAGGGACAAGGGAATGGGTATTCATCTTCAGGTGCTCACACTGGTGGTCCAGAAGTTGACTGCATAGGCCAGAGCCTCCTTCTGGTTGATTGTTCTTATTTCTTGCAGCTTTTCCCTAAACTTCTGGGCTTCACCCTCCTCATTGGCAAAGCTTCGAACCGTAGAAATGGCCGACAGAGCCTCAATGGCCACCTGGCTGGATTTTGCCAGAGATTCCTGCACCTGCACTCCCAGCAACTGTGGAGACATGGACAACAGCGGTCACATGGGTTGGCAAACCATCAGGGACATTAATACCTGAGTTACCTAGTTGGAAATTAAAGGTGAGAAGAGGCAGAGGAAAGGGAAAGAAGAGAAAGAGGCACAGCTATGCCCCTTGGATACTAAAGAAATACAAGGAAGAGGAAAATGACTCAGAACAGGTTGGGGATCAAATTCTTAAATAGAGACTGTGCTAGAAAGGAAGACCTAGAGAGCATAGAGAGTAATGTTGAGCAACCTGGGAACATGGATCACAGGGACAGGGCGCTCCGTGAAGATGGAGAATCAGTAAGCGCACCAGGAAAGTTGGACTGAGAGCAATATTAGAGGCACTGAGTCTACCAACTCTGGGAGATGAGGGTCTGTTTAGAGCGGGCCAACTCCATGAACATACCTGGTACCATTTTCCCAGCTTCTTGGGCAGAAGGAAAAGCAGAGGCAGGGCCACCAGGGTGACCATGGTGAGGGGCACTGACTCCCAGAGCATGATCCCCAAGAGACACATGCCTCGCACCAGGTACCACAGAAGTGAGCTCAGATTCCCACTCAGAGACCCACTCAGGGTGGATGTGTCCTCTGTTACCCGAGACGCGATGGTACCTGCAGGGTTGGGAGAAGAGAGTGAGGCGAATCAGACAGGTTCCAAGTGAGGAGAGGAACTAACAATGAGCCAGGGTACCAAGGTGAGGGGCGTCAACAGGGGGTTCTAAGGAGGCTGTAGGAAACACGGCTAGGGGTTCTGCAAATCTCAGTGCAGGGAGGATGAGTGTTAGAGAGGAAAGGCCTGACCCAAGACCTTAATTTTTATTATAAAGACATTGATGCACATGTGAATTTCCATTTTCCTGAAAGCATTCTGTTCCCTAAAGAACCTGTATGTCCCATGCTATACACACAGGTAGGAAGAGCTTAAACTGGTCACATAACAGAAATGGAGGAGGAGGGTGCTGCTAGGAAGCATGCCAGTCTGTGGAGCCCTCACTGGGAATCAAGAGACCCCAGGTGTGTCTCTAGCCACATGTAACTGTGCGGTTTCAGCATTTAGGGTCTCAGCCTCAGTTTCCTTCTCTGTCAGATGAGGCAGTTGGTCTCTATAAGCTCAAAATTTCTGGGTTTGAAATTCTATGGTTTCTATCTAAGGATACATAGGAACAGACTTATGAGAAAATCCTTGATGAAAACTCTAGGCTTTTCTCAAAGTAAGGACAACAATATTTTGCTCCTGAGGTATATCAAGAATGAGAAAGAACAGTGTGTGTGTGTGTGTGTGTGTGTGTGCGCGCGCGCGCGTATGCGTGTCAGAGAGAGAGAGGAGGGAGGTGGGAGATCAAAGCAGATGTATGATATAAATAGTACATGGTGTATAATGAAAGAGTTTCATGAGAAACCTGTTTGGTTCTGTTGGAAAAACTCTGTCTCCTGGCGCAGGACAGCTCCAAACACCTCTCCCTGCAAGTGGCTGTGAACGCGGCCCATGGTGCTGTTATAGATCCCGTCACCCACGAACTCCAGCACTGCACTAGAAAGAGCCCGGAAAAAGGGGGTCACGGTGTGTTCAGGGAACAGACTGAAGGTCCCAGGTATCCCCATGTAAGTGCGTTTTGGACAGCAGCCCCAAATTCCAACTCCCTCTTTTGCAGAGTGAGAGCCATTTTCAACCCCCAGACCTGGCTATGGTGAGAATGGACATAAGAGTTATGTTTCGAGTGAAGGTATCCACTGAGCCTTTTTGTAGAATCCAGTCAGTGAGGCGGCCCGTGAAGAATGGAATGGCCATCTCCCCTGGGGAAAAAGAAGAGAGGTCGCGCACAAATATTGTCTAGACAGGTCAGTTCCAGTCAGACTGGCCCCACCACGCCTCCTCCCCCTCACCATTATCCTAGAGGGCATTAGAAGAAAGGAAACACTGACATCTCAATCCCGAACCTAAATAGGCTGCCCTGGAACTCACTACCCTGTGGTTGGCCTCCCAGAACTTTCAGGATTTCATTAGGAAGGCTGGAGATCATGAAGCAGAAAAGCCTCCTGTTAAAGATGAGGATGCCCGGCCCCTCTGCCCCAGGGCAAAGAACTTCCCCGCCCCCGCCGTGGCCCAGAGAATCAAGACCCGGCCAGCAACGGAGCCCAGAACTCCTGACTCCCTCCAGTTCAATGACGTTTCTTCTACACTGAAGTGGTCTTCCAAGACCCACGCTAGGACTTCTTCCCCTGCTGCACATTTCCCAGAACCCACGCTACTCTACCTCACTGACAATTACCTTAGTTTCCTGCCCGGTCCCCTTGTGTCGCCCCCTCGCGCCCTGCGTTCCCCTTACCAATAGAGGATAGGACCACCAGGACCAGGAACAGCGAGAGGCGGCGCATCTCCGGGCCCAGGAAACCTAGAAGCCGACGCACAGGGTCTCCAGAGCCTCCCTGACTGCCGGGCACCCAGAGGCCCCCAAGCTTGTGCCACAGGGCGGCTGCGGGCAGTGCCGCCGCGTAGCTGACGACGAAGGCGCTGGGGTGACTTCCCCAATGCAGTAGCCTGGTGCTATCCGCGGCTCCGGGGGCTCCCCACGAAACCAGCTCTCGGAACGAGGCAAGTCCCGGCAGGGCCAAGCCCAGTGCCGCAGCCAAAGGCTCCAAAGCCGCCAGCCAGCCCTGGGCACCTGCATTTTCGCTCTTGGAGCCAACTGTTGCCCTGAGGACCCCGCGGGCCCCCAGCCACAGCATGGCCCAACGGCTCAGGCCCACCGCCCAGACCCGGAGCAGCGGCAGCGTCGCGGGCACCAGCAGGGAGAATATGCAGGGCAGCGAGGTCCGGAGCAACACCCCGTCGGCGAGAAGCAGCAGCACTGTCCCCCACCACGCGACAGAAGCTCCGAAAAGGCAGGGGCGCCCGCGGGGAGCGGGACACCTAGAACTAGCCATGGGCACGCTGACGCCGTCCGGGTCCGGGCCGGACCTGAAACTCTCCTCGCTCCGGTTGGGCGGGAGTCTCTGGGTACCGCTGAGTCCGCCCCTACCGGCGGTTGAGGGACAGAGCGAGGGCGGGGCTCTCGGAAAGTCCCAGAACCGACTGATCGGTGCTGGCGAGAAGCGCAGCCATTTAGGGGAAAGCGAAATCGAAAGCGGCAGTCTGCCCACTAGATACGCGCACTTCCAAAAGTGGCCTGCCCAGATTATTTTGGGAGCAAGCGTGGAAATCAAATCTGAGAATCTGGGGAGCAGCACTGGTGCCCAATTTTCTCCATCACGCACACCGCTCCCGCTTCTCCCTGCCTCCTGCCTCTCCACTAGTACCAGTTTTCCCACCCAGCCTCAGGGCGGGGCTGACTCGTCACTTGTCTCCGGGCAGATCCAGCCTACACAGGTTAGCGCCGGGCGCTAAGCCGCTCCGCGGCACCCAAGCGCCTCCTGGCGGTGCCGCGGGGGGCGGGGCTGCCGGCTGCGCGCTGCGCGCTGTCCCAGGTCCGAAACTAGTGCCCCAGGCGGCGACGAGCGCGAGGTGCCTGGCAGGGATGCTGCGGGTTGGAGCGCCAACTGGGGACTTACCCTGGGCAGGAGAAGTCCACACCGGGGTAATGGGTCTGGGCTTGAGGGTTGGCAGAGGGGTGGAGGAGGTGCAGCGGCCGGGAAGCGCGGAGAAGTGACTGCAGAGACTGACCTGAGAATAGACTACCTGTGGTAGTCTCTAGCAGCCAGCGGTTGCAACGCATAATGAGCATAGCGTATTTCTATTCTGAGGGGGGTCGTCTAGGGTGTCCCTGAAGGCACGCAAGGCTGGTGGAAAAGGGGGTGCTTTGACTCTTAGCTAGAAGCGTCAAGGGGAAGCTGCTCTAAAGCGCTTTCGCTTTCACTCTGGTCGGGACAGTGGGGGCTGGTTAAATCAAGAAAGGGGGTTGGGGACATGCAAAAAGATGAGGAAATGGTACCGGGGTGAAGCAGAACACCACTTGGGAGAAGGAAACATGGTCACTTAATTGAGAAGGACCAACTCATCACGCAGACTTTTGATAAATTTGCCACTGGGTAACTCTTAACCCAAGCACTGATAATGGGGGTTCTGCGTTAACCTGTGATGCCCTTCCCTAGCTTGACCCAGGAAGGCCCCTCCTTGACCCAGATGCTGCCTTGCTCCCTTTTCTGTGTCTTCCCTGCCCACTCCCATGTGCCCACTGGGGGACTGTGCTTAGGATGGGAGCCTGGGGCAGATGGTAGCCCCAAGGCTGGCTGGCTTCTGCTCTCAGACTACTGACACCACTTGTGTCTTGGGTGAGGCTTTTTTATAGAGGAATAGCTCCTAAGATGAAGCTGACTGTTCTCTGGCCCTCTATTCATGATAAGTTGGTCTGGCAGAAAGCACACTCAGAGGAGTGTCCTTTGGGGCCAGAGTAACTTATGGCCTGGTAAGAAAGGCACAGTAAAACCACATAATTTGTGAAATCTCCCCTAACTGCCAAATGAGCAGTGGCAAGTAGGAAGCAGAAGTCAAACAAGGGATAAGAGTTAAACCTGAATTTTAGTCCCAGGTCTACTATTAATTCTGTGTGACTTTGTATAAGTCGTTCGCATTTTCTGTGACTTGGTTTCCTCATTTGAACCAAGCATCTTTAAGGCTCCTTCCAACTCAACAGTAGAAAAAATATACCTTTATCTTCCATCACTTTCTCATGATTCTTTTCTTGACCTGGAAAAGTCAGCTTAAACTCTTCAATCAAATCCTCTCTTGGTACAGATTGACCCCGCTGGCTGCTCAGATATCTATTTATCTCTGGATCAGAAATTCTGTAACTGAAACTTTTTTTTTAAACCATCTGCATGTTCCTTGCTGCTTCTCTCCTGCCTCGCCTCCGGCCATGCTAACCACTGCCCTCCTCGATTTTTTCCAATGTTCAGTAAATTGAAAGAGCTCACTTCTGATGAAATGGGAGTGAGAGTGAAGGACTGTGGGTCACAGTCACTTGCTCTGAGTTGGGTCTATACCGCATCTGCACATATTATGAGCCCTTCCAGTGGAGAAAGATTTCACTTGTGGAGCAGCTTCACTTCTACCTGTAGGGGCTTTATCTCCACCTCTCTCTCTACAGTGGAGAGGCTTCCACTAGGCAAGTCGGAACTTGGGGACACAGTTCTTTCTGTGTTGTATCACAACTGGGCTGTGGCATTCCACTGCAGCTGGATGAAGCAATAGAGAAAGTGGAAAGATGAAGGGGAAAAGCCTGTACTGACAGTCAGCTCTGGCCTGTTACTGTGTGATCTTTGAGCCAGTCACTTCGCCTCTCTGGGAATGTTTCTTCTTCTCTAACATGAGGGGATCAAGGCTCTTCTTGCCCCGACATTCCATGTTCTGTGTCTCTGCAGACAACCATCATGGCAGTGGAGTTTGACGGGGGCGTAGTGGTGGGTTCTGATTCCCGGGTGTCTGCCGGGTGAGTAAAAGGGAAGCTAATGGCCTCAAATACACATTTTTCTTACCTATTCATGCAAAGACTGGTGAACTGGAGCTTTGGAGGAATGGAGTTGACCTTCCCAAAAAGCCACTATAGTAAACTATTTGGTGGGTGCTTGGGTCTCTGAATTTCTGGAGGAGGATCTGGGGTCTGAATGCCTATGTGACCTGTCCCAGTAGTGTACAGGGATGAGTGTAAAGGAATTGGATCTGAGAGGGGGACGGGAGATAGATTTTTGAGGGGCTTCTTTCCCTCTGTGTTTAGGGATCAAAAAGATTATTTTGTCAAGCAGATATCTGGTTTCTCATTTACCATGTACTGAATATTTTGTCTCTTCTCCCCCTCCTAACCAATTTCCTCACATGCAAAATGAGTATATGGGGTTAGATCAATATTACTTACATGAAGTTCCATAGAACGTAACTCCCTCAAGACTGTTAATAGCAAAGGAAAATTGATGAGGCATATTTTTCTGAACTTAGTGTTTTTTTGTCTTATTATAAAATCTAAGCCTGAAAAAATAGGCCTAATTTTGATTAACACCTGCAATGATTAATAATATCTAAGATTATTATTTGCCTCCTGCTTTAATTCGAACATTAAACCTCATGCTATTCTCTTGTCAAATAAATTTGAGAGACATTGAATGAGCACCCTCAAAAACTCCTGAGTTCTGGTTGGGTGCAGTGGCTCATGTCTATAATCTCAGCACTTTGGGATGCCGAGGTGGGCAGATATTGGAGGATAAAATTTCGAGACAACCTAATCAACCGGTTGAGACCTGGTCTCTATTAGAAATACAAAAATTAGGTTGGCTTAGTGGTGGGTGCCTATAATCCCAGCTACTTGGGAGGCTGAGGCAGGAGAATTACTTGAACTGGGAGGCGGAGGTTGCAGTGAGCCAAGATCATGCCACAGCACTCTAGCCTGGGCAACAGAGGGAGACTCTGTCTAAAAAAAAAAAAAAAAAAAAAAATTCCTGAGGTCTAACGTTGGTGACTGTTGACTCTTTCTTGACAGCAAGGCGGTGGTGAACCGAGTGTTTGACAAGCTGTCCCCTCTACACGAGCGCATCTACTGTGCACTCTCTGGTTCAGCTGCTGATGCCCAAGCCATGGCCGACATGGCTGCCTACCAGCTGGAGCTCCATGGGTATGAAGCGCTGGGTTTCTGACTCCACACCAACTAGAGCTCCCCTAACTTGCATGAATCTCTGTACAGTGTGCTGTTCCAGGAGCTGGACACTGGAAAGTGAAAGATTCTTGTTGTGGCTCCTGCTGGCACTTAAATCTGCCAGTTTCTGCACCTGTAAAGTAGAGATAATAGTATCTCGTGAGACGGTTATTTTGAGAACCACGTGATATATATGAACACAGTTTAAAAGCTGTAAATCACTATCCTAATATAAATAATCAGGACAAAAGCAATATTGTGACCCACCGTAATATCAGGCAATTACCATAAGAGAAATCAAGGTCATTGGGATGGAAGTAACCTTATCTGCTTTTCCCCATAAAAGCAGGGCCCTGGCAGCCAAAAGAAAGTTATGTCGGCGGGGCTGAGCAAAAGAGAGTGAGCAATTCAAAGCTTCTTACCTGTTAGTGGTGTGGGACTCTGGTTCCCCTGTACATGTGGGAGGGAGGCTGCAGTTTGAACTATTGCAGCTATAGTTTTCAGGGGTCATTTAGCAGGGATGGTGGTAACATTATAGGAGAGTGAGACTTAAAATTCTCTCAACCCTTACTCCTCATCATTCCTTCAGGATAGAACTGGAAGAACCGCCTCTTGTTCTGGCTGCTGCAAATGTGGTGAGAAATATCAGCTACAAATACCGAGAGGACTTGTCTGCACATCTCCTGGTAGCTGGCTGGGACCAACGTGAAGGGGGCCAGGTGAGTTTCTCCTAAAGCACTCTCTCTGCTGGGCTTCCCCACTCTCCTGTAGCGGAAGATGGAAGTCCTATGTCATTCTAGCAATTAGTTCCAAGGACACTACCTCTGAAAGTGTAGTACATTGGGGATATGAGATACTAGTGCTTCATTTCAGGGTGCAGAGGCCACTGAATGTCTTAGTGGGAAGGAAGGGTTTGATGATTCTTTAGTCTAACCTGAGGATGCCTCTCCCCAGGTATATGGAACCCTGGGAGGAATGTTGACTCGACAGCCTTTTGCCATCGGTGGCTCCGGCAGCACCTATATCTATGGTTATGTGGATGCAGCATATAAGCCAGGCATGTCTCCCGAGGAGTGCAGGCGCTTCACCACAGACGGTAACCCACCAAGTGGAAGGGTACCTGGGGAGGGCTTTTAAACAAGGGAAGGAAGTCGATTATGAGGAACAGGAAGAGAAATACAAGGGTGGCCCTTTAAGTTAATGTCCAAATTGGTACTCTTTTAAGAGTGAAAAGGGGCAGGACAAATGCAAAGCTCGATGGGGCTCTTGGGCAATAGGGATAAACCAGGGCTGTTCTGAGTAAATCAAATGAGGGTACACAGTCACCGTAAGAACCAGGGGTGTGCTAAGCACAATGGCTTACACCTGTAATTCCAACACTTGGGAAGGCTGACGCAGGAGGATTACTTGAACCCAGGAGTTTGAGACTAGCCTAGACAAGATGGTGAAACCCTGTCTCTACAAGAAAAAAATAAAAAATATGAAAAACGATCTGGGCATGGTAGTGCACACCTGTAGTCCCAGTTACTCAGGACGCTGAGGTGGAAAGATCGTCTGAGCCAGAGAGGTCAAGGCTATGGTGAGTGGTGATTGCACCACTGCAGTCCAGCCTAGGCGACAAAGTGAAACCCTGTTTGAAAAATAAATAAATAAATAAATAAAAGAACCAGTGGTGTGCTGAGGCTGGCTTGGGACAGCTCAGGAGAGCTGCTTGTTAAATATCCGAGAATTTGTGGGCTGCTTGTTAAGCTGTTTGTAACTTGCGATTGATCACAGTGGAAGCATTTACACCATGGACATCAGCAGAAGCCTTTGAAAAAAAAATGATTTATCAGCACACCACTAAATATGCCTTTCTGGAAGATGGGTTTTGAGGTGAAAGCAGTAGTAGGCATATGGATGGAGGGGGAATAAAAAGATGTTTGGAGCTAAGCCAGTCTCTCTCTCCCTCTCTCCAACTTGAAACCCTCTGTAGCTATTGCTCTGGCCATGAGCCGGGACGGCTCAAGCGGAGGTGTCATCTACCTGGTCACTATTACAGCTGCTGGCGTGGACCATCGAGTCATCTCGGGCAACAAGCTGCCAAAATTCTATGATGAGTGAACCTTCTTCAGATCCGTTTCTTATTTTGTAATAAACTCTCTAGGACCAAAACCTCATATGGTCGTTGGGAAACGGACGCTCGGGGAGGGAGCTTCATCCCTCCAAGTGTCAGCACACACTCTTTATTCTTTTGTCCCAGGTCTAAAACATCTTCCCCAGAGAAAAGAATAGGGACTAAACTAGAAGTATAAAGAGCCCCATACATGACAGGTCATCACATACTGAATGATGATTTTTTTTTTTTTTTTTTTTTTTTGGAGACAGAGTCTTGCTCTGTCACCCAGGCTGGAGTAAAGTGGAGTGATCTCAGCTCACTGCAATCTCTGCCTCCTGGGTTCAAGCAATTCTCCTGCCTCACCCTCCTGAGTAGCTGGAACTACAGGCACATGCCACCAAGCCTGGCTAATTTTTGTATTTTTAGTAGAGACAGGGTTTCACCATGTTGGCCAGGATAGTCTCAATCTCCTGACCTGGTAATCCACCCGCCTCTGCCTCCCAAAGTGCTAAGATTACAGGCATTAGCAACCACACCTGGCTGAATGATTTTTAAGTAGTACGAACAATAAAAATTCTCATTCTGATGACCAAGGCATGAGGATGCAAGTGAGGATGTGGGACTCTTTCCTTTAAGGTTAAGACTGACAGACAAGACACCTACAAAGGAGAATTAGCTAAGACTATCAGCAAACTTGCATGTAAAAGAATTCCTTTCAAAATGCATTCATTCACATTAAAAAGCAATACATGAAAAATGCCTAAATATTTTGGGGCACTTGTGAATTTCAAGGAATAATAACAATAACCAAAAGAAGCTACGTTTGTGGAGCCAGGCATTGGCTAGACGTTTCATAAATTTTATCTCGCAAAAGTCAAAGCAAAGAACCCACTGTATTCACACCTGTAATCCCAGTACTTTGAGAGGTCAAGGCAGGATGATTGCTTGAGCCCAGGAGTTCATGACCAGCCTGGGCAACATAGTGAGACCCCCATCTCTACGAAAAAATTTTTAAAAGTAGTCAGGTGGCCGGGCGCGGTGGCTCAAGCCTGTAATCCCAGCACTTTGGGAGGCCGAGGCAGGTGGATCACGAGGTCAAAAGATTGAGACCATCTTGGTCAACCTGGTGAAACCCCGTCTCTACTAAAAATACAAAAAATTAGCTGGGCATGGTGGCGTGTGCCTGTAATCCCAGCTACTCAGGAGGCTGAGGCAGGAGAATTGCCTGAACCCAGGAGGCGGAGGTTGCGGTGAGCCGAGATCGCACCATTGCACTCCAGCCTGGGTAACAAGAGCAAAACTCCACCTCAAAAAAAAAAAAAGTAGTCAGGTGTGGTGGTGCATGCCTGTACTCCCTGCTGCTTGGGAGGCTGAGTGGGAGGATCACTTAGGCCTGGAAGTTTGAGGCTGCAGTGAGTTGTGATCACACCACTGTATTCTAGTCTGGGTGACAGAGAAAGACCCTATCTCAAAAAAAAAAAAATGCCCAACCCTATATAGGTACTATATGACTTCTATAGGACAGATGGTGGTATATAAAGATTAAATCACTTGACCAAGGTCACAAAATAAATTCCGAGGCTGGGATCTGGGATTCAGTTTTATTATATGCCCTTCCTCTACTACTACCTAAAACTTCTCTCTCCCTCAGTCCCCGTAGATCATCCTGAAATCTGCAATAAGTATCCCCAGACATTTGTTGCCACTTAAGAAACTGTTACCAGATGCCTGAGTAACTGCATTAAAATGAATAGAGTTCTCTTCTATCTTTGCCCTGCACTCCCTGAGTGACCGAAACATGATTCACCTTCTGTGAACTCTCATGTCCTTTTCTGTCAAAAGAAGGTGCTGAATGATTTCTAAGGTAGTTTACAGTTCCAACATTCAATGCCATTTGGCTAACAAGTGGGCAGTCAACAGGCACATTCAACAGAAATGCTAATAGGATCTCAGGCTAAACATACAAATTCAAAATACTCTAAAACAGCCACATGCCCCTGGACTGTAAATAAACATCTGAAATTACACGTGCCTGGAGTTGTTTCTAGCCATGATATTTAACTTATCTGGAATTTTAAAACACTAGTTTAATGGGCCATTTTTCCTACTGATCACAAATAGAAATTCGGGGCAGTATACAAAAATCAAGAACTCACGAATTCCAAAAAGTAAACAAATGCAGGTGGATTGTGAAGAGGGTCAAAACTTGGAGAAGGGCCCTTCCTGGGGAGTGGATTTTTAATGTTTTCCCCTCTTTTCCCCCAGCTCTTCCCTGGCCTCAGGCCTCAGGTGCAGAGCTGCACAGTGTGGTAACACAAGCCCTGAGACTACAAGAGAAATGACAGCTTTCTGGCCAGAGGAACCAAGAGAAAGGGCCCTGCGGGCAGGAAGGGGGATCTTCCATGTAGGGGAATCTCCAAAATGAGAATGCAGGAGGAAATTCCCTAATTCTGAGTCTGAACCCTCAGGAGTACCAGGTTACCCCGAGCGGCACATGTGTGTGACACGCCCTAAGTGCACAGAAAAGACTTTGAGAACTGAACGAAGATTCAACCTTTTAAAATTTGAAGACTTCAGCCAGGCTCACACCTGTAGTCCCTGCACTTTGGGAGGCCAAGGCAGGTGTATCACCTGAGGTCAGGATTTTGAGACCAGCCTGGCCATCGTGGTGAAACCCTGTCTCTACCAAAAACACAAAGATTAGCCTGGCATGGTGATGTAATCCCAGCTACTCAGGAGGCTGAGGCAAGAGAATCGCTTGAACCCCAGAGGCAGAGGTTGCAGCGAGCCGAATTGCACCATTGCACTTCAGCCTGGGTGACAAGAGCGAAACTCTGTCTCAAAAAAACAAACAAAAAAAGAAATTAGAAGACTTCATTTTTCTGCATTGACCAAATAACTATGTACTGATGCTCCTCATCCCAATAAAAGATTTGTAGCAGCTTACAGAGACAATTTTAAACAATTTTTAAAAGAAGAAGATGACATTGGGTCAAAGAGAAAATATGGCTAAGAAAATAAGTGAAGCCAAGGAGTAAGACTAATGTACAGCATGAATATCTTTAAAAAAAAAAAAAAGTGGTGTGCTGTCTTATACTGGCTAGCAAGAGCAGACTGTAAAATATTCTGGATTTTTCAAGACCGTTGTTAACTGTTGGCAACTTGATACTGATCACGATGGAAGTATTTATACTATAGAAATCAGCAATGCTACAAGTCAGAAGCATTGTATTTCTTCTGAGATTCAGTTGAACAGGACCCAAGCCAACTACAAATGGATAAAAAATAATTGGCTCTGGGCCATAGGGTAGTGAAAGGAAAGAAGGAAATAAAATTAGGTATGAGATTCTTAAGATTCATTTTTAAAAGTCACCAAAAAACCAAAACATATATATAATAGTTCAAGCCACATTTACTCAAACGGGACGTGCATCACTCCATAAAGGTAACTCCAATAAATTCCCGAGTATCAGTATCTTAGAAACTACCTATATTCTAGGCCAGGAGCAGTGGCTCACGCCTGTTATTCCAGCACTTTGGGAGGCCAAGGTGGGCAGATCCCTTGAATCCAGGAGTTCAAGAACAGCCTGGACAACATGGCAAAACCTCATCTCTAAGAAAAATTTAGCTGGGCATGGTGGAGTGCACCTGTAGTCACACCTACTTGGGAGGCTAGGTGGAAGGATCGCTTGAGCCCGGGAAGCAGAGAGGTTGCAGTGAGCTGAAATTGTGCTGCTGTACTGCAGCCTAGGCAACAGAGTGACACCTTATCAAAAAATAAAAAAAATAGAAATATATTTTGCAAGTATATTGTAATAAAATTAGAATTCGATTTTTTTAAAAATATACTTAAAATTTTAAGTAAACAAAAGTATTTATCAGTAACATGGATTTAAAAGGCAATAATGGGCAGGAGGGTTGCTGGGGTCCAGGAGATCGAGGCTGCAGTAAGCCCTGATTGCACCACTGCGCTCCAGCCTCGGCAACAGAGTGGGACGCTGTGTCAAATAAGTAAATAAACAGCAGTTATAAAGAAAATTAACTCTTTTAGAACCAGGTGGTAAAAATGTTACACATAAAATATACATATAAAAAGTTATAATTTTAAATACATTTATTAGAACAAGAAAAGTTAAAATAAATGACCTAAACATTCTACTCAAAAATTTGGTAAAAGAGAAGTTTGGCAAACCTAAAGAAATAAGAAGGAAAGGAGTCATTAAAACAAGAATAGAAAGCAATGAAACAGAAATAGAGAACAAAAAACTAGGTAGTGAAATTAACATACTTTTGATTCCAAAAGCCGATTATTTAAAAATATTTGTAAGATACTCAGAGTTACAACAAGACTGATTATGGATCAAGGGAGAAAAAAATGAATAAACAAACACAAAAGGGGGACAAACAAACAAAAAAAGGGGAAGCCGCTGTAGATATGACACAGATACAAAGCGGAGTGTTATGAACAATTATACGCTGATGAATGTGAAAACCTAGGCAAGATAGGTAAATCTTTAGAAACATTTAATCTATCAAAATTAGCACACCAAGAAATACAAAACTTGACTGTACCAATAAGTATTAAAGCAATTTTTAAAGTTATCAATGGCCTCTAATACAAATATGTTTTTTAAATGGCCAGATGATTTCACAGATGAGTTCTATCAAACATTCAAGAACATGAAACTCCTACATTATGCACTTTTTCTAGAAAATAGAAATAAGATGAAAGCTTCCAAGCTAGTTTTATCAGGCTAGTGTAATCTTGATTCCAAATTGAATGTGAAAAACTCAAGGAAAGAAAATAATAGGCTCATTTCACCTTGAACATAGATAGATGAAGAAAAAATAATTATTTATGAACAGAATTCAACAATATGACAAATAATAACACTGGGAGGCCAAGGTGGGAGGATCGCGTTAGGCCATGAGTTCAAGAGCAGTGTAGACAACATAGTGAGACCCTGTCTCTACAATAAAATTAAAAAATTAGCCAGGTGTGGTGGTAAGCACCTGTAGTCTCAGCTACTGGGGAGGCTGAAGCAGGAGGATCACTTGAGCCCATGAGTTTGAGGCTACAGGAAGTTATGATTGCACCATTGCACTTCAGCCTGTGCAACAGAGCAAGACCCTGTCTCTAAAAAATGTATAAAAATAACAATAATAATAATGACAATGCTAATAATGATTCATCAAGATCAAATGGGAAATCCTTGGAATGCTAGGCTGGTTCAATATAATAAAATATATTGTTGCAATATTCACCACATTCATAGGCAAAAAAAGTCATTTCCTTTGCTCAATCAATTAATAAAAGGCATTTGGCAAAGTGTATCCATTTGTAATTTTTGAAAAACAGTTGAGGAAGCAGGAATGAAAACTTTCTTGTTTTGGTAAAGGTTATATTCCAAAAAATCTGTAACTACCAGTATAAATAATGGAAAAATCTCTGGTTCCCAAGACAAGAATGTTCACTATAATTACTAGTTTAACATAGCACTAAAGCCAATGGGCAACATAGCAAGACCCCATTTACCAAAAATAAAAATTAAAAACTTTTAATTAGCTGGCATGGTGGGATGTGCCTGTAGTCCTAACTTCTTGGGAGGCCAAAGCAGGAAGATTGCTTGAGCCCAGGAGTTTGAGCTTACAGTGAGCCGTGATAATACCACTGTACTCCAGCCCGGGTGACAGAGGAAGACCCTGTTTTAAATATAAATTAGCACTAGACCAACAATGACTGTGTAGCATGAACTGAGGAATATTATTAATTCCACCATCTGCATCTGAGGTTAACAATATATCAATGACTTAAATAATATCATATCTCTGAGAGTAATTTCTCCTATATTTCCATGACAAATGTTAGATCATTTTCCATTTTTTCCATCTAACAAAATAAACAGGGAATATAATTAACGTGTTCAGTTGAAGACTGGGATTTAGAAAGGAAGATAAGAATTAAGAATAATCCTTAGTTCTCTTCCTAATTTTCAGCCTCTCTCACTGTACATATGTATTATTTTCTTTTTATGTCTTTTAGAATCTAATAAACATGTTCTATATTATATAACAAACTGGAATATATGGATTCGTCTTTGGTCTTCCTTACCATGTTCTTAACTCTGCTGGCTCTGGGGCACTGGACATACCATGTAAGAAGAAAAATGTTTTAATTCCATTGAACTTACTCAGAAGCATTGGAAATAGGTTCAGCAATATTCAACTTTGCCCAGCAGTGTTTATGACAGTTTTATATATAGTATAGTATAAGTATGTATAGTGTAGAATTTATGCTCTCAAGAACTAAGAGATAAAGTATGGAGATTCTAAACTGTGTTGACATAGAAGAGGGTGGAGTTCTCGAAGAAACAGCCTCCTATAGAAAATTGCTTGTATGAATCGGATTCTCCAGAGAAGCAGAGCCAATAGGATGTTGGCAGAGAGAGATTTATTTTAAGTAATTGGCTCATTCTACTGTGGGGGCTGGCACGTTGGAAATCTGCAGTCAGGCTGGAGACTCGGGGAAGAGCTGACGCTGTGCCTTGAGACAGAAGTCAGTGCAGAGGCAGAATTTCCTCTTCCTTGGGGGACCTCAGTCTTTGCTCTTAAGACCTTAAACTGATTGGAAGCCCCACTTACATTATGGAGCATAATCTGCTCTACCCAAAATCTAATTGATTAAAATGTAAATTTCATCTACAAATACCTTCATAGCAATATCCAGACTGGGATTCAAATGTCTGGAAATCATAGCCTAGCCAAGTTGACACATAAAATTCGCTCTCACTTGGCTCAAGGTGAAACTTCCAGATCAGTGTGGCAGGAGTGTTGAGGAAGGAAGTGAATTCAGTACTAACCAAGTGGGATGGCCAAATCATCACTGAGTGTGGCACTGGCCTTTCACCAAAGAACATATGATTAGGACAGGTACCAGACAAAAGCTGGGTGAATCGGTGGAGGCTTTTGTGCCAACCTTCATAGACTGGCTACATCAGACTGCCCTAAAGAGCATACAAAAGAAAAA